ACTCTCTCTCTCTCTCTCTCCTCAACTCTTTTCTTTCTCTCTCAAACACACACCCCCGTCACACAAACACACCACACAGACACGCAGTTTCCGCCGGCACCTATGTGACAGGTGGACACCACGACGGCGTCGTCGCTTAGAATCTCGCCAGCGTTGCGCTTGTCTGACGTCGCATCTACACGTCCGCCGTATGTTCCCCGCCGTCGAAAGCGGTGAGCTTCGGTACGACGCCGTTCGTCTCGCCGTCGCTTCTAGCCTCTCTGGCGGCCGCCAGTCCAGCGATTCATGTCCCCTAGATTTCCGTTGCGGAGGCCGACAGCTACATTCGCCACCATGTCCGCCGCTCATGACCCACGCCGCGCCTTCCTCTCTCTGCCCGACCTCCGCCATGCTTCCCCACATCCCGCCGTTGACCAGCTCCATCTTGCCCTCCCGCCCGAATCCGTCAACGCGAGCGGAGGAACCTCCTCTTCGTGTGGAGGGGACAACCAGACCACCGGAGATTCGTCCGGGAGATTGACGATTTCTGCTAGTTAATTTGATTTATGATGGTATCATTTTTTTTTTTAGAATTAGATATTTATGAGGGGTGTGATTGTAATATTAAAAGTTTGATTAAATATCAATTTAGTCATATGGGCACAATTTGTAATTAAGAAAAAACTTTAGAACTTTTTTATACATATATATTAAGATAATAAAACAAAATACTAAATAAAAATAATACAGAATATTAAAATCATATAAACATGATATGGTAATAAATATTAATTTTGATTGTTGAAGGACAATTTTGCAATTTTTTTTTAAAATTTTAAATTTATTTTAATTTAGTTCATGACCAAATATCTAATTAAAAAGGAAATAATTAGATAGAGTTGAAAGAAAATTTGCAGTTTTATTAATTTTGAGTATATTTTTAATTTACTTCACAAATGCATTTAATGAAGAATAATGTGTACAGTGATTAAAAATTTGAATACGTAAAAGCACGTAATTTATATGTGATCATATAAAGTAGTGCACTTTATATATCAACATAATGCACTTTATAATAAAAAAAGTTGCACATTATAAAACAACACATTTTATTTATAACCATATAAAGTAGTGCACTTTACATATCAACATAATTCACTTTATAATAAAACAAGTTGCACTTTATAAAACAACATATTTCCTTTATAACCACACTACACAATAACCGTCGTTAGATCTCGTCAAGATACTACACAATATAAATCTAGAAAAGGGATGCACATAATAATCTAACATCTCTCGCATCAGTTATCAATACAAAAAACACAAAAATACTAACGTACCAAAACTATATATAGTAGTTCAATCTATAAATCAACATGTTGCACTCTATAAAACATCACGTTGCATTTTACAAAACAATACGTTGGACTTTACAAAACACCACTATTCACGTTATCACGACTATCGGATTGCGCAATAGAAATTGTAACCGAGCGAATTCAAACATTTTCAACAAAAAACATAATAAAACTATTAACATATTAAATATAATTTTAATCTAAATAACAAATTATTTATATTATTTAGGATAATTCGGTTAGCCGAACTGGACAAATCAATAAATCATGTTCATTTTCAATTTGATCTAGACAAAAGTTCGATTGATCCATGTTGCACAATACAGACCAACGTTTTGCACCATATTGTTGTACGAAATGCACTTTAACAATTGTTAAATTGAATATTATATTTCATTTACATATATACAATTTTTATAATAAAAAAAATAATATTAAATATCCACTAAAAATATTTAAATACTAATCATATTTCTTATAATGAATAATATAATTTATGTCAATTATTTAAATTATTTATGTTAACGACAAACCAATTCTATAACGTTGAAATTTTGAAGTTCATATTTTTATATTTTATTTTGACTATTTATTTTTACTTTTAAAACGCACGTGTATTCAAAATTTTAAGTTCATATTTTTATATTTCATTTTGACTATTTATATTTCATATACACATATAACATTATTATTTTTTAAAGTGCACGCATATAAACAATATCATGCAACTAAACTAATGTATCATTATGTGCATAAATTAGTATTCATTATATTACAAATTGTCATCCATAAATAAAAATATACATGGATTTAAAATTTAATAATTACAAAACAGTCCCCCAAACATATCAAATTTTCAAAAGCAAAACCCTAACCAAAAACACCATCCCCGTCACTCTTCTCAGCCCAAATCGCCGCTGTCAACCACTGGCTGCCGGAGTCGCCGTCAGCCGCCGCATCTCCGCCATCCTCGTCGTCGTTCCATGTACAAACTAAGCCCCAAATTGCACAAATCATAAAAATATCCCAGACACAATCGGTGACGATCTATCCTGTGTCGAAATAGACTCGTCGCCGGCACATGAACCGAGAGGCCGCCCGAGCCTCCGCCTCTTAGGCTTCTTCGCCGGAGCGTCCTGCAGAGAAGAAAGTGTGAGCG